AAGATGGCGCTCCTTCCTGGCCGCCTTGTGCCTCTCTCGCTCTCCAATAATTCCAATTCCTAAGCTGAGCCGTGGCGCTCCTCTTGGAGTAGTCGTTGTTGCGTCGTGGGATGAAGCTGAATCAGAGACGAGGATGACAGGGCGCCGCTTCTCTGCGGGAACAGTTCTCATCATCATCATCATCATCATCATCATCATCTTGTGGCCCGCTAGAGAGTTTTTTTGAAGATTTGCGCCGTGGGTGGGACGCCTGAGAGAGAGTGGCTGAGGTGGTGGAGAAAAGACTCTGTCGGTTCCATGAGCTGCTTCTTGACGTTAAATAGAAAGGCCAGAAGAGAGAGCAGAAGATCGTGCACAAACGAAAACAGTCAGATATTAAGCGAAGGTGATGCCTCCTCGAGCTTTGTCTTCGCGAGGCGACTGCCATGACAGACAGAGCAAGGCTGAGCTCGAGGTCATTCACAGCACTACCTGGTGGTGACATCAAGAAGGAGTGAGATAAAACGACGAACAGTGTTGGTCGCGACAATGAGAATGACCATTCGGCGGCAAACCTCTTTGCAAGACCCAGAGCGAATGCCGCACACAAGCACCATAACGAAGAGCTCCACTCTTGGTCCACACCCTCACCCAGTACAGCGTCGCTCTTCACTATTGGCGCTTCTCCACTTCGCATTTGCGGCCCCAGCATCGTCCACAACAGCTTTCTTGCCAGAAGGAGCTTCCAGAACAACACAAACCGCAGGCGCTGTCCCCCGGATCTTCGAGAACTGCGACGATCTTTCCGATTTGGTTCCGGGCGTGCCCTCCGTGCATCGCATGACGGAGCTCGGGCGGAGACAATTAGGAGGACATCAACTGCCTGGGAATGAGAACAAGAGAAATGATGACCACTTGTTGAGCAACCAAACCACCATGCTGAACAGTACCACGCCGTTTGACTGGGATCTGGATTTTCTTCTAACACACTACTCGGATGTATCCAACGAAAATGGAAATTCATTTTTGCCGCGCACGACGTCGTAGAGCTGCAAATGTTGACTTCATCGTACTAGGGCTATTTTTCCGAGCCACAGGAAAATTTTTAGCTCCATGACGATTTTCACATAGAAATAATCAATCTTAATCTTCACGCTGGCAAATATCTACCTGTCATGCATTTTCGTGGTGTAGTCGTTGTGCGGTAAAACCAAAAGTAAATTTTGTGTGTTGCATAAGACGCCCTGTTCTGGGCAGAGGTTGAAGCGACTTCATCAGATACGGGAACATCAGACGAGGAGGAACGACTACAGAGCCGCCAGAACGGGGATTCACCACACGAATCATCATCTGAAGAAGAAAGCGGCAGCGCCATCGGTGTTGAAACCGATCATCGGCATCAAAGCAACAAGACGAGGAAAACTACTGCTACAAGCAGAAAATCTACTGGTAGGAGCAGCCCAGCAGACGATAGTGGTGGAGAAGGTGCAGCTTCTAACAACAACACCGGTGCGGGCGTAGATTTATGAACTGCAAAAGTATCGTACTCGTATAAATGCATTACAAATTTTCTCAGCATGAGAAATAAGATTTGTAATGCTGATCTGCCTTAAAAGAAAGATTTGTAATGCAAGACTTGCATTTATACGAATGCGATGCTTTTGCATAGGATAAGATTTCGTCGGTGTCAGTTTGAAGGAAACAATCAGAAGTGGGAACTATCGATTATCAAATGGAAATGCAAATATGCGTGGGTCGTCTGGGAGATTGCGAGATTTGTCATGCTAGTCTGGCATGACTCTGAGCTCTGTATTGCGTGGCCGCGAAGAGCTCCGGTTGCCTGTCATGCAAAGACGCAGCTTCTCATGCGGGGTATGCAACTCAGAACTACGGCAAGACTTGTCATGCTGGGCAGCGGCAGCGCATTGCACTGCTTTGGCTTTCACTATTTCCTTCCTCGCATCACAAGTTTCCAGACCCAAACTACATTTTTGCATTTGATACCGATTTCACGAAGATAACGCACGGCACTTCATTCCGGATCGGGAGGAGCTCTGGAGGCCGTTTGTGGAGTACCTGAAAAAGCTTTTCCGACAAAATCCCTACATCGACACTACCGGTCCGAACAGGTTTATCCTGAGTAGAAACTACGCCACCAACTCCCCTTCGTTAAGGTGGGAAGTTATTGGCTAGACAAATCAGCAAGCATTGGCTGTTGCGCATGACAAATTTGGGCGCGCAGTGTAATACTAGTCGTCATTAGCTAACGCAGTAGCGTCACAGATCTCGTCGCCTATCATGCTGCTTTTAGCATCACAAATTATTTCAAAACACCACTACAAAACGAAAACAAAACCACTTCTCATGGATATCCGCATGAGAAGCATCTTGAGCACCATCATGCGGCTTTTCATTTACAAGTCTTGGGCGGTGACGTTTTTACGCGGGATAGGGTTGAACCTGCAGCCCCGCACTATGCCGCCAAAGTACTTTACCAAGTGGCTGGCCCGGCCGGACGTGTTTCCAACTTTCGAGATTTGGCTTGCCAGCAAAGAGAAAACTATCCGCAGGAAATTTCTTGTTCCCGTACACGTACAAATGTGGCTTCCGCATGACAAACTGCTCCTTGCAACCTCTTCAGCATGATGACAAGTTGCTTCTTCTAAGTTGGTGCAATTTGTGATGCGTTTTGTGCATGTGCAGCGGGGATGAGGTTGCATTGCATACAAGCGACGCTGATGCACACGGACATCGAGAACTCCACGCACGGTTTCGGCGGTTTGCTACTCCATTTGAGCGGACAGAAGCGGGTTTTTCTCTACTCGCAGGACCAGGACGAATATTTTGACGGGCTCAGCAGGCTATCAACCGGGCAAACTGCACATAGCTTAGTACCGTACCACACTTACTACATCGAATGAAAACTATCGGTTTCTTTGCGCATGACTAGGCTCTTTTGCAAGTCGGGATCATCCACAATGACAAAATTGGTACAACTATGCACCATGTTGTTCCTGGAATTTGTGATGTATTGTATTTTTGTGCACGTACTGTAGTGTACGGCTACTCGAGTAGATTTGTGTTGCATAACTGCACGATGACGGCTACAAGGTCGTCGCGGGGCTCGACCCGTCGCAGGCGGATGAAGAGCTTTTATGAGGGTGCACAGCTCCCCCAGCACTCCTTCGACATTTGTGTAGCGCTTGCAGCAACAGAAACGACACGAAGGACGCAGCTTCTGCATGACAATAAACCCACATGCAAAACCGGATTGTCGTGGAGTTTCGGCCTCATAAACTTGTGGTGATGTTGCAGACACGGCGACGGCCACCAAAAGGTGTACGATTCTGAGTACGAAAGACAAGGTGAATTACAAGGGGAATTGTGCACTCTGATATCTTGCGGAATTCTTTCCCAAATACGTAGCCCGAAGGGCGCAGCGAAGAGTAGCAGAGCAGGACGGCAACAGCAGTGCCGTGGTGGTAGATCCTCGCGCGAACAACTCAACATCTGACACTAGCGTCAGTGTTGATAACATATTCGAGGCTGTTATCAAATGTAAAAATGTCTGGGTCTGGAAGAATGCATGTTTGTCATGCTTGTCTGGCATGACTCTTAAATCTGTCATGCACGTTGCCCAAGAGCCGCATTTTTCTGTCATGCGGAGACGCAATTTGTCATGCAGAATAGGCAACACCTACAAGCTCAGAAATTTGTCATGCTGAGCCAGCACTTGTGGCCTCACTATGAGACGCCACTCAGCATCACAAGTTTCCAGACCCAGACATTTTTACAGTTGATAGCTGTGGTCGATCTCCAGCCCTACGACATCTTGTATATTCCGACCGGATATTATGGAAGCGTCAGGTTTGAAATCGACAAAGTTGAAATAGTTTGTGATGCATAAAATGCAAGGCATGAAGTGCCTGTCTTGCCAGGATAGCAAGTGAAGCCGATTGTGAGCCTGTTTAGGGTTTGAAATAGAGCTACTAAACTCGCATGACAAAAGCAGTCTTCTGTGCCCAAACAGCATGACAAATTGGATTCCGGTGCTCGGAAAATTTGTCATGCGCCACTTGATAAGTGGGCTTCCGACTGGTATCTGTTTTATGCATGACAAACTATTTCAACTTTGACGATTTCAAACCTGACACATCCATAGATATGGTGGATTGGAAATATGTCTTGGTCTGGAAGAACGTGAACGCAAGTTTGTCTTGCTTGTCTGGTATGAACATGATTCTCAAATCTGTGAGGCATGAGCGGGGAAGAGGCCTGTTGCCTGTCGTGCAGAAACGCTGTTTGTCATGCGGAATAAAGCGAAACACACTAGCAGCTTCAAAACTTCTTGTCATGCTTGACAACTGCGTGCTATTCTATTGCAGTGTGCACACCATTTACAGACCTGCGTCACAAGGTTCCAGACCCAGACACATTTGCACTTGATGCCGCTTTTTGGCACTTTGTGTCCTACTTGTCGGACGGGTTGTCGTATCAAGGGAGAACAAATAAACTCACTTCACATTGAACATCACGACAGCGACAGGAATTTAGTGCCATGAACTGTATTGCGACGAACATCAACTCGAGCACTATATTGCAACGAACATCAACTCGAACACTGTATTGCAGCGAACAGATGAAGTAGGTCCGGAAAATAAAATGAATCACTATTCAAAGATTTCACCGAATTCCGTCTACAATTCTCCATGCGAACGTGAATTTTGCAATCTGCGTGTCATATCGGATACGCGTACTTCATGTATTTCGACAAAATTTTTGAGCCAGGCGGCGACGAAGCGGAGGAAGAAGAAGTTGAAGGAGCATCTTCAACCAGCTCAGACACGTCGACGGCTGTGGAAGTCGAACCGGATGCGATATTAGTCTGATTTTTAGTAAAAGTCGACGGCGGGGACGCAAGGATAAGTTGAGTACCAAAACGTACGAATCATAATGCGAACCGCATCACGTGCATAATCATCGCGATGAGATGACGGACCTCTTTAACAGGTATTATGTATGTTTTCTGATTGCACTGCTACCGGTGGGACCTTGCAGAATTACCGTGCAGACGCAAAGCAAGAACGACGGCGGCATCTGTAATTGCCCGTGAGGCTCCTCCTCCTGCTTCTGGCGGCATCCACTTGTTCCACACTCTCGTGAAGAT